GCATCAGCCCAAGATCACTCTGCAAGTCAAGTCAGGGCTGCTGATAGAATCCAGATCTCTTGATTCTTGGTTCTGTCACCAAGCGACCGTACCCCTCTGGAAAGTAATAGGATGTTTAACCAGAATTTGGCAGCATTAATACCTGGCATGTAAACTGCATTTTATCTCAGCAGTTCAAGCCAAGACTGACCAGGAAGCTTTAATATAATGCTGTTCCCCCACCCTTCATCCACTTGGGTCTTTCTGTTTGGCAGGGCAGTGTTTTCGGATGTGAAGCTGTCAAGATCTGGCTGGCTTCTGTAGTGAATCTGGTTTTCTTGCATGCTGACGTGAACCTGCACTTGAATGCCCTGCCCCGGCATGAGTGAAGTGCTTTCATCCCCCTCTCATGTTATTGGTCCTGAAACCCACCCAAACCTTTCACCCTTTCCAGCGCAAGACCGATCTGAATAGCCCCCAAGAAGCCCCACCAGCCCAACCCAAGAAAAAGTCAGGTCGCCCAACTGTAAGTCCTGTTGGGGATGGGGAACAACTAACCCAGCGGGTGTCTGTCTTTTGGGAATGAACTGGAGGAAGAAACAGCCCCTGTTGGAACAAAAACTTCTGGCTAAGGTGTGTGGGCCTGAGGTGGTCTGAGTCCTTGCAGAGCATTTTCCACTCAGTGCTCTGCTGGACCTTCAGGAATCCGTTCATAGGCAGACAATCAGGGTTTCTACTTGGATAGGCCTTAAGAACTCAATAGGAAGCCTTCCCTCTTCAAGCTAGAGACCCTGGGTTGCAGAGCTGCACCGTTATTTCAGGGCCCATGCCCATCGCTAGGGGTTAAGAACAGCCACATTGGGTCAGACCAAAGGTCCATCTAGCCCAGTGTCCTGTCTTCCAGTAGTGGCCTGTTCTGGGTGCCCCAGAAGGAATGAACAGACCAGAGAAGGTCCATCTAGCCCAGTGTCCTGTCTTCCAGTAGTGGCCTGTTCTGGGTGCCCCAGAAGGAATGAACAGACCAGAGAATCAAGTGATCCATCCACTATCACCCATTCCCAGCTTTTGGTAAACAGGCTGGAGACACCAGCCCTACCCATCCTGGCTAACAGCCATTGATGGACCTAACCTCCATGAATGGATCTATTTTTCTTTTCCTTTCTTTTTTTAAACCCTATTCTAGTCTTGACCTTCGCAACATCCTCAAGCGAGGACTTCCACAGGCTGACTGTGCATTGTGTGAAGAAATACTGCCTTTCGTTGGCTTTAAACCTTCTGCCTATTCATTTCATTTGGTGACCCCTATTATTTGTGTCATGGGTAGGAGTAAATAACTTTTACTTTCTCTGCACCAGTCATGATTTTATAGATCTCTGTCCTGTCCTCCCTTAGTCATCTCTTTTCCAAGCTGAAAAGTTCCAGTCTTGTTACTTTTGCCTTACATGGCAGCTGTTCCAGACCCCTAATAATTTTTGTTGCCTTTTTCTGAACCTTTTCCTATATATATAATATATATATATATATATATATTTTAAATGAAGCAACCACACCTGCACACAGCACTCAAGGTGTGGGCATACCATGGATTTCTGTAGAAGCAATATGATATTGTCTCTCTTAGCTATCCCTTTTTAATGGTTCCCAGCATTTGTTAGCTTTTTAAACTGCTATTGCACACGGAGGGGGTGTTTTCAGGGAACTATCCACACTGACTCAAAGATCTTTCTTGACAGCTAATTTAGACCTCATCATGTTTGCATGTGCAGCTGGGTTAGGGTTTCCCGAGGTGCATTACCTTGCATTTCTCAGCACTGAATTTCATCCGCCACTTGGTTTCCTGGCCACTCAATGTTGTGAGATCCCTTAGTAGCTCTTTTCAGTCTGCTTTGGACTTAACTGTCTCAAGTAATGTTGTGTCATGGACAAACTGTTGGTCCCTTTTCCCAAAACATGATGGATGTTGAACAGCACTGGTCCCAGTCAGGGGCGTAAGAGGTTAAACACGTAAATGCTTACAGGTTGGAGCAGCCAGCTGTGTGGGGGTTGCAGGCAGGGCCACACCAGCATCAGACTGGTGGGACCCTAGTCACGTGGGGGTGTCTAGCAGGGCCCTGGCCCGTCCCACTCTGCTGGAGGGGGAGGGCTGGCGGGACCCTGACCTACAGTTAACCAGTTAAACTTCATAATTTTAGTTATTTAATTGGTTAACTATTTAAATGGTTATGTACATCTCTAATCTCAGTATACATCCTTGGTGGGCAACACTGGTCTTGACATGCTGCAAACTGACCTCTTACTCCTACCCTTTGTTTCGTGTCTTTTAACCGAGTAGTGAGTCATGAATAGATCGTCTCTTTACCCCACGATTTGCTTAATAGTCTTTGGTGAATCACCTTGTCTGAGACTTTATAAATGTCCAACTACATGTATCCACTGGATCATCCTTGACCACATATTTGTTAACCCTTCAAAGAATTCTAGTAGATTGAGGCATGATTTTCCCTTCACGAAAGCCACGTTGACTTCCCCCACAAATCCCATTTTTGCTTGCTCTGTTGGGTGGGCTTCTTCACACAGCGTGTAGTCAACCTGTGAAACTCATTGCCAGAGGAGGCTGTGAAGGCTAGGACTATAATAGAGTTTAAAGAGAAGCTAGATAATTTCATGGAGGTTAGGTCCATAAAAGGCTATTAGCCAGGGGATAAAATGGTGTCTTGGCCTCTGTTTGTCAGAGGCTGGAGAGGGATGGCAGGAGACAAATCGCTTGATCACTGTCTTCAGTCCACCCTCTCTGGGGCACCTGGTGCTGGCCGCTGTTGGCAGACTGGATACTGGGCTAGATGGACCTTTGGTCTGACCCAGTACGGCCGTTCTTATTTTCTTATGGCTTTGGGGTTTTGGAGGGGCTTTTGCTGATTTTTCTGGTCTATTCCTACCTTTGTCACTGATTTACTGAATGACCTCTGCAAAAGTCACTTCAGTCATCCGTACCTCAGTTTCCTCATCTATACCTTGAGGCTCTTACACTAACACTCCTGCGAGGGAGGTAAAGTCACATTTGCAAAGGTTTTGATGTGCACTAAAGAAGCTTGGAGAGGTTCTAGAGATGCAAATATTAAGGTAGCCTACAGTTTGGCGCTGAAGAGAAATGGTGGTGGTCAGCGCCTGCCAGCTCTGTCAGAAATTTGTTCAGGGGCACAGTCTAATTTTTGTGCTTAAAGTTGTCTTTAAAGTGCTTGTGGTCAGCGGTGCTTTCTCCTAGCTAGCCTGTAAAATCTCTTCCTCGTTTTCCCAGTGTTGTGTCTGTCTTAGTCTGGAGCTGTGCCAACAAGCTCGTTTTTCATCTTGGTTTCTCTTATTGCAGAGCGCGCAAACGACCTCTTCTGCTGGGCCTGCTGGTGACCAAAGCGAACTGGTCACCAGAATCGCTAACCTGGAGGTGGAGAACCAAAACCTCCACAGTGGTAAGTGAGAAATCTCATGCAAGCAAACACATGGGACTCAGGCAGCCAGTGGCAGGCACATCTTACTGAACGCTCCATGCAATGTGGTGAAGCCTTGTGAATTGTGTGTATTTTGGTGGTGGTTTCGTTAGCATTGGGATAAGGAATTTTCTCAAGTTAGTAGTTTGGGGTGAGGAATCTTTTTTGGTTCAGGAGCCGCTGACCCGCAGAAAAACCATAGAATCCTAGAACTGGAAGGGACCTCGAGAGAGCAAGTTCAGTCCCGTGTCCTCACAGCAGGACCAAGCACCATCTGCCCAGCAGGTGGGGGCCACACACAAGTGAGAAGCAAAAAAGCCAAACCCTCACTGATGTGACCCCCGACTAAGGAGGAGAAAGACACTCCCCACGTTCCCCTTGCAGGCCAGAGTCTAGGGAGCCCTGGCTAGTAGATTTTGTGTGCTCCAAGCTCTGCGGTGAGGCTGGAGCTCCAGCGCAGACTCCCCAATGCTGGGGGGAGCCGTAAGCCTCAGGGGCTGCATCCGGCCCCCACCTCTGGGAGGAATTGAGTTTGTTTGCTTGCCTGCAGTGAGAGCAAACTCATCCTGACCTGACCCCAGGATTCTTGGGGGAGCCAATAAGATGAGAAAGTTCTTTCTCCTTTTGCTAGTCGTTGCAGATCTTCAGTTGGCCATCTCCAAGCTGGAAACACGCCTGAGCATGCTAGAAAAATCCTCCGGCTCTCACCATCCCACGGCAACGCCACCCACACAGGTAATTGAGCTCTCAAGGTGCCAGGTCCGTTGAGAGCACTTCATGCCACCCACCAAGGAGAAGGGTGCCGCGTGGAGAGATTAAGGCCTCCTCAGCAGAGCCTTCTAGAGCTTCTCTTTCTTGCTCGTCCCAAGCCCAGGGTAGATGCAGAGCATGGACTCTCCTGCTTTACGCCCTCTGAGGATGGTGGGGCCACATTCTTGGTGGGGTAAATCTGCAGCAGTCCTCTAAATTCTGCGACCCCAAGCCCAGTTGTTTACGCTTGTGTATAAATGGGAGCACACAAAGAAAACACAACTTCTTGGTACATATTAGATATATAGCAAGGAGACCCCTGTGCAGGTGGCCAGACTTGAGAACCTATTGCTTCTACTAATTCTCGTGAGCTTCTTTGCCTCCAGTAGGAAAAAGTAATTTCTCTGGGAGCAGAGTATTCTGCACGTGTTGCATCTTTCCCCACCGTGGAGGATGCATTAAGGACCTTTAATCAAAGGATTTCTTGCGTAGATGTCCCTTAAGCATCTTCTAGTAGGGCAGTGAGATTAACTTACATAATGTGGATCATTCTCTCTCCCTCCCTTCCTCATGTAATGAATTGTTTGTGCACTGGAGTGATTTGTTCTGGGGGTTATTTTCAAGTGCATATGCTGCTGTGTGTGCACAAGAGGGCAGCTTGCAGGCATGTGTCTGGCTCTTAGCCCAGTTCCAGCAGATCTAAACGTCTATCGAGTGCTTGAAGAGAAGGACCAAGTGTCTGGCGGCATGACCGTGCCTTTGGACAGTGACCGTCTTGCTTTATCATGTCAGGACTAATTGCAGTGGGGGGGGAGGGGGGTGGAGTTTGCTGCTTTGTTTTACACTTAGATTAATTTTCTCCCTTTTTGGCCCATTGCTTCCGTAAAGCACGTCACCCCAATGAAGAAGATGGAATCACCTGCTTCTCCCCCAAAGAAAGTACAACTCCCGCCTGCTCCACCTGCGAGGAAAGCAGGGCCGTCGGAGGCTGACGATGAGGATGAGGATGATGACATCGACCTCTTTGGCAGTGATGACGACGAGGAAGACCAGGAGGCTGCCAAAGTTCGGGAAGAGCGACTCCGCCAGTATGCAGAGAAGAAGTCCAAAAAACCTGGCCTCATTGCCAAGTCTTCCATCCTGCTGGATGTCAAGCCTGTAAGCAGCTTACGCTATTCCTTACACCACCGATGCTGTGGCTTTGAAGTGGGGTTCCTAAGCTGACATGGCAGAATGTGGGTTACATCTCCCTGGCTGACTGCAAATTACAGAGACGATCCGCATACGATTGTTTGGGTCAACATTGAGCACTGCATGGAGGGATCGGAGTTGTCCTGTTCCATAGTAAAGAGGGCAGTTGCAGATGGTGGCACTTGGACCAATCCTGGTTTGGAATACCTTCCTTCTCGTAGGGCAAGGGTGGGCAAAAGGGCCTCCGTGGGCCGGATCCAGCCCATCAAGTAGATTGATCCGGCCCTCGGAGGCCCTGCCACTCCTCTGCTCCCAGGCCAATTAGGGTTTGGGGGTGAGGAGAGCACACAGTTTCCTCCGCCCTTGCCCTTGCTCCTGCCCTGCAAGGAGTGTGCGGCGTTTAGGAGTGTCACATGCTCCTGATAGGGCGGGATGAGACTTTGCGTGTTCCCCCGCCTCTGAGCCCTGATTGGCTTGGGGGCAGAAGGGGGAGCATGCAAAGTCTCCTCCCCCCACCCCCAGACCAATTATGGTCTGTAGGTGGGGAAGCAGGGAAGTATACTGGCCCCACCCCTTCTGCGGTGTATTGAGTCAGCACCTAGGGGTTTGTGTGGCCTGGAACCTCTTTCAAAATTTCTGAAGTGGCCCCCAGCAAAAAATTATCTCCTCCCTTCCCCAGTATTAGGGCTTGTTTCCAAAGTTCAATAGTGTGAGACGCTGGGGTGTAAATCTACAGCTCCCCAGCCTACTGTGCTCTATCTGGGCAGGTAGGCCTTGCTGCTGCGTACTAAAAGTTCCATAGTGCGCTGCAACGTAATCTTGTTTCAAACTTCCTGGTGGCAAGCTCGAGTATTTGTACAATCACACCCTGGCTTGCCCCACATGTTTCTGTGAGGACAAGCCCTCAAAAAAAGAACTTGCACCTGTTAGAGTGTAAATAGCTGAACTATGGAAACTGTTTCCATAGTATGGAATCAGGAAAGCACAGTCTCTCCTAATATCACAATAGAACAGCCCAACATTTTGGGCTAACTAGAGAAGCACTCCTTGGTATTTTTACCAACTATTGGGGGTCATAATGAGTTCCTGAAACTGACACCTGAGATGGAATGTGCCAAAACATGTCCCTGTAGGTGTGCGGGATCCAGAGCATCTGCGGTGACTTGGTCTCACTTCATGCAGAGTCACACTTGAGATGATAGGGCGGGATGGCTCTGGGAAAGGCTCCTTTCATCCAAGAAGGGATCCTTAACAGAGACTGATGGGGAAATGAGTGGAAAGCACTGACTACAGAGTAGAGCATTGCCTGGCAAATTGGCATGGTACAAGTAGAAGTAGTGAGTGTGTTGGTCTTGCTCTCTGCTGAGCATTGAAGAGTTCTGTCTCCCATCTCCTCGCTGCCTTCCCGATCGCAGCCCTTTGCTGCGGTGTATTGAGTCAGCACCTAGGGGTTTGTGTGGACATGGCGTGTGTGCCCCATGGAGACAGTTCAGCTGGCATTGTTGAGGCTTGCAGAGTCCTCCGTCCTGCAGCCCAATGCGGTGCCAGTGAACCTTCTGAGGTCCCTTTTTGTGCTTTGTTAGTGGGACGATGAAACGGATATGGCGAAGATGGAGGAGTGTGTCCGGTCCATTCAGATGGACGGCCTGGTGTTTGTCAGAGGCTGGAGAGGGATGGCAGGAGACAAATCGCTTGATCACTGTCTTCAGTCCACCCTCTCTGGGGCACCTGGTGCTGGCCGCTGTTGGCAGACTGGATACTGGGCTAGATGGACCTTTGGTCTGACCCAGTACGGCCGTTCTTATTTTCTTATGGCTTTGGGGTTTTGGAGGGGCTTTTGCTGATTTTTCTGGTCTATTCCTACCTTTGTCACTGATTTACTGAATGACCTCTGCAAAAGTCACTTCAGTCATCCGTACCTCAGTTTCCTCATCTATACCTTGAGGCTCTTACACTAACACTCCTGCGAGGGAGGTAAAGTCACATTTGCAAAGGTTTTGATGTGCACTAAAGAAGCTTGGAGAGGTTCTAGAGATGCAAATATTAAGGTAGCCTACAGTTTGGCGCTGAAGAGAAATGGTGGTGGTCAGCGCCTGCCAGCTCTGTCAGAAATTTGTTCAGGGGCACAGTCTAATTTTTGTGCTTAAAGTTGTCTTTAAAGTGCTTGTGGTCAGCGGTGCTTTCTCCTAGCTAGCCTGTAAAATCTCTTCCTCGTTTTCCCAGTGTTGTGTCTGTCTTAGTCTGGAGCTGTGCCAACAAGCTCGTTTTTCATCTTGGTTTCTCTTATTGCAGAGCGCGCAAACGACCTCTTCTGCTGGGCCTGCTGGTGACCAAAGCGAACTGGTCACCAGAATCGCTAACCTGGAGGTGGAGAACCAAAACCTCCACAGTGGTAAGTGAGAAATCTCATGCAAGCAAACACATGGGACTCAGGCAGCCAGTGGCAGGCACATCTTACTGAACGCTCCATGCAATGTGGTGAAGCCTTGTGAATTGTGTGTATTTTGGTGGTGGTTTCGTTAGCATTGGGATAAGGAATTTTCTCAAGTTAGTAGTTTGGGGTGAGGAATCTTTTTTGGTTCAGGAGCCGCTGACCCGCAGAAAAACCATAGAATCCTAGAACTGGAAGGGACCTCGAGAGAGCAAGTTCAGTCCCGTGTCCTCACAGCAGGACCAAGCACCATCTGCCCAGCAGGTGGGGGCCACACACAAGTGAGAAGCAAAAAAGCCAAACCCTCACTGATGTGACCCCCGACTAAGGAGGAGAAAGACACTCCCCACGTTCCCCTTGCAGGCCAGAGTCTAGGGAGCCCTGGCTAGTAGATTTTGTGTGCTCCAAGCTCTGCGGTGAGGCTGGAGCTCCAGCGCAGACTCCCCAATGCTCATCCTGACCTGACCCCAGGATTCTTGGGGGAGCCAATAAGATGAGAAAGTTCTTTCTCCTTTTGCTAGTCGTTGCAGATCTTCAGTTGGCCATCTCCAAGCTGGAAACACGCCTGAGCATGCTAGAAAAATCCTCCGGCTCTCACCATCCCACGGCAACGCCACCCACACAGGTAATTGAGCTCTCAAGGTGCCAGGTCCGTTGAGAGCACTTCATGCCACCCACCAAGGAGAAGGGTGCCGCGTGGAGAGATTAAGGCCTCCTCAGCAGAGCCTTCTAGAGCTTCTCTTTCTTGCTCGTCCCAAGCCCAGGGTAGATGCAGAGCATGGACTCTCCTGCTTTACGCCCTCTGAGGATGGTGGGGCCACATTCTTGGTGGGGTAAATCTGCAGCAGTCCTCTAAATTCTGCGACCCCAAGCCCAGTTGTTTACGCTTGTGTATAAATGGGAGCACACAAAGAAAACACAACTTCTTGGTACATATTAGATATATAGCAAGGAGACCCCTGTGCAGGTGGCCAGACTTGAGAACCTATTGCTTCTACTAATTCTCGTGAGCTTCTTTGCCTCCAGTAGGAAAAAGTAATTTCTCTGGGAGCAGAGTATTCTGCACGTGTTGCATCTTTCCCCACCGTGGAGGATGCATTAAGGACCTTTAATCAAAGGATTTCTTGCGTAGATGTCCCTTAAGCATCTTCTAGTAGGGCAGTGAGATTAACTTACATAATGTGGATCATTCTCTCTCCCTCCCTTCCTCATGTAATGAATTGTTTGTGCACTGGAGTGATTTGTTCTGGGGGTTATTTTCAAGTGCATATGCTGCTGTGTGTGCACAAGAGGGCAGCTTGCAGGCATGTGTCTGGCTCTTAGCCCAGTTCCAGCAGATCTAAACGTCTATCGAGTGCTTGAAGAGAAGGACCAAGTGTCTGGCGGCATGACCGTGCCTTTGGACAGTGACCGTCTTGCTTTATCATGTCAGGACTAATTGCAGTGGGGGGGGAGGGGGGTGGAGTTTGCTGCTTTGTTTTACACTTAGATTAATTTTCTCCCTTTTTGGCCCATTGCTTCCGTAAAGCACGTCACCCCAATGAAGAAGATGGAATCACCTGCTTCTCCCCCAAAGAAAGTACAACTCCCGCCTGCTCCACCTGCGAGGAAAGCAGGGCCGTCGGAGGCTGACGATGAGGATGAGGATGATGACATCGACCTCTTTGGCAGTGATGACGACGAGGAAGACCAGGAGGCTGCCAAAGTTCGGGAAGAGCGACTCCGCCAGTATGCAGAGAAGAAGTCCAAAAAACCTGGCCTCATTGCCAAGTCTTCCATCCTGCTGGATGTCAAGCCTGTAAGCAGCTTACGCTATTCCTTACACCACCGATGCTGTGGCTTTGAAGTGGGGTTCCTAAGCTGACATGGCAGAATGTGGGTTACATCTCCCTGGCTGACTGCAAATTACAGAGACGATCCGCATACGATTGTTTGGGTCAACATTGAGCACTGCATGGAGGGATCGGAGTTGTCCTGTTCCATAGTAAAGAGGGCAGTTGCAGATGGTGGCACTTGGACCAATCCTGGTTTGGAATACCTTCCTTCTCGTAGGGCAAGGGTGGGCAAAAGGGCCTCCGTGGGCCGGATCCAGCCCATCAAGTAGATTGATCCGGCCCTCGGAGGCCCTGCCACTCCTCTGCTCCCAGGCCAATTAGGGTTTGGGGGTGAGGAGAGCACACAGTTTCCTCCGCCCTTGCCCTTGCTCCTGCCCTGCAAGGAGTGTGCGGCGTTTAGGAGTGTCACATGCTCCTGATAGGGCGGGATGAGACTTTGCGTGTTCCCCCGCCTCTGAGCCCTGATTGGCTTGGGGGCAGAAGGGGGAGCATGCAAAGTCTCCTCCCCCCACCCCCAGACCAATTATGGTCTGTAGGTGGGGAAGCAGGGAAGTATACTGGCCCCACCCCTTCTGCGGTGTATTGAGTCAGCACCTAGGGGTTTGTGTGGCCTGGAACCTCTTTCAAAATTTCTGAAGTGGCCCCCAGCAAAAAATTATCTCCTCCCTTCCCCAGTATTAGGGCTTGTTTCCAAAGTTCAATAGTGTGAGACGCTGGGGTGTAAATCTACAGCTCCCCAGCCTACTGTGCTCTATCTGGGCAGGTAGGCCTTGCTGCTGCGTACTAAAAGTTCCATAGTGCGCTGCAACGTAATCTTGTTTCAAACTTCCTGGTGGCAAGCTCGAGTATTTGTACAATCACACCCTGGCTTGCCCCACATGTTTCTGTGAGGACAAGCCCTCAAAAAAAGAACTTGCACCTGTTAGAGTGTAAATAGCTGAACTATGGAAACTGTTTCCATAGTATGGAATCAGGAAAGCACAGTCTCTCCTAATATCACAATAGAACAGCCCAACATTTTGGGCTAACTAGAGAAGCACTCCTTGGTATTTTTACCAACTATTGGGGGTCATAATGAGTTCCTGAAACTGACACCTGAGATGGAATGTGCCAAAACATGTCCCTGTAGGTGTGCGGGATCCAGAGCATCTGCGGTGACTTGGTCTCACTTCATGCAGAGTCACACTTGAGATGATAGGGCGGGATGGCTCTGGGAAAGGCTCCTTTCATCCAAGAAGGGATCCTTAACAGAGACTGATGGGGAAATGAGTGGAAAGCACTGACTACAGAGTAGAGCATTGCCTGGCAAATTGGCATGGTACAAGTAGAAGTAGTGAGTGTGTTGGTCTTGCTCTCTGCTGAGCATTGAAGAGTTCTGTCTCCCATCTCCTCGCTGCCTTCCCGATCGCAGCCCTTTGCTGCGGTGTATTGAGTCAGCACCTAGGGGTTTGTGTGGACATGGCGTGTGTGCCCCATGGAGACAGTTCAGCTGGCATTGTTGAGGCTTGCAGAGTCCTCCGTCCTGCAGCCCAATGCGGTGCCAGTGAACCTTCTGAGGTCCCTTTTTGTGCTTTGTTAGTGGGACGATGAAACGGATATGGCGAAGATGGAGGAGTGTGTCCGGTCCATTCAGATGGACGGCCTGGTGTGGGGAGCCTCCAAGCTGCTTCCAGTGGGTTATGGCATTAAGAAGCTCCAGATCCAGTGCGTAGTGGAGGACGACAAGGTTGGAACAGACATACTGGAGGAGGAGATCACCAAGTTTGAAGATTACGTAAGTTTTCCACTTGTACCTTTCAGACACCTGGTCTCTTAAACCCGCATCCCTAGACCCCACTTCATGTGTTTGCATCCCTCAGTATATTCAGATTCTGCATCATCAAAACTTTCATTGGGTGGGAAGCAGGGATGTAAAAGGTTTAGCTGATAAGTCTCACCCTTAACAGGTGAAGCTTACTGGTTCGGGTTAACCAGTAGGGATTAACTGGGGTTAACCAGTGGGGGGGGGGGGGGGGATAGCAAATCTTGACATTGCAGCGCCCACAGCACATGTAGGCTTTTTAGTAGTTACATAGTTACATTTTTAAATGACATTTTACTAGGGGTGGGAAGATTTAACTGGTTAGCCTCACCCTTAATGAGAGAGGCTCACCAGTTACGGTTAACCAGTGGGGCTAGAGCAGCCCCTGCCTGCAGCGGGGGAGGGAGCGTTCCAACCCAGCAGTGGGCAGGGGGCCAGTCCAGCTGGGCCGGAGCAGCCCCCCTCGCTTGCCCCCAGTTAACCAGTTAAACAATAGCTGTAACCAGTCAGCCAGTTAAACAGGATTTTACATCCCGAGGGGGAGTATTGAGTGTTTAGTTCCCATGTTTGCAAAGACACTGGAAAACACGAAGCGAAGCATATCAGAAGCAGAGAGCCTGCAAACAGCCTGAAGCCGTATGTCGGCTGTGAACCTCCCTTGTTCGCCTCACTGGGTTGCTAGGCCCTACTGCTTGGTGTGTTAACACTTCAGGGACCGCAGTTCACTGTTTCCTTGCTAATTGTTTTAGTGGGCCTTGGAGATGTGGGTTGGAGTGAAGCCTATAGCACTGGTGGAATTGTTGGTGGCTCTGTGGGGAAGAGAAGAGACCCATGTGGATGGGGAACAAGGAGAGAAACAAAAGGCATAAATCGTGGCAATCCTACTTGAGTGGTGCTCAAGGTGCAATAAGAACACGGTTAATTTTACTAATAAAGGCCATCTCCTACCTCTGTTTTTGATCTGTGCGAACTACCCTTTGACGTCACTGGGAGGCTAGTGTGGATTCTCCCCCGTTTGTGGTCCTGTATGTTACTTTAGATATATATTGTGTGTTTAAAAATGTTGTAAGCCGCCTTGAATATTTTAAATAGACGCGGGGTAAAAATATTTTAAATAAATATTAAATAAATAGATTCCGGGGCATATGTAATCCTAAAACTATCCTGCCCCAGGGACCATAATTAAAAATGGAACTTATCCCCTTTCTATAGGGTGAGTTTGAAACCTCTTTTAATTGGGAAGCTGTTTGTGGTGTAGACCATCTCTTACCCATTTGTACAATACCTAGCATCCTAGGGCCAAAATCCGGATTATGGGGCTTATATAAATATTAATGGCAGTCTTAAAATATGACCACTTGTGAGACTGACTAATTGTTGAATTATAATAAACTACTTACTAAAGAATTGTCCTTGAGAAACTTGGTGGGGAGGGTGATAGGGCAAACTTCTGACAAGAGACCAGCCCAGTCAGTGCTTTCTGTACATCTGAAATCTCTGGACTATGTTTCAATAGCTTCAGCTGCATTTCTTCTTCTATTCCAGGTGCAGAGTGTCGACATAGCAGCTTTCAACAAGATCTGAGAGCTCCTGTTTATCCTTTCTGGAACTGTGATTAATAAAAGGTCAAGATTTTGAGTGCAGCTGGTGTGGGATGTCTTTCCTTGCAATGTGCCCAGGGGAGCGCAAGGTGGTAGCCAACATCCCAAGTGTCTCTTGTGCATCTTGCTTACCAGACTTCAAAATAGGGAAAGCTGGCTATTCCCAACCCCAACATCAGTGCCATGCTGGAATCGCAAGGGGTCCTACGAAGTAGCCCAGAGTGATTCACCACAAATAGCTCCCACTTGGCTGTTTCCTGCTTCCACTTCACCCGAGCTGGGGTTGGGACCCTGTTGTCTCCTTACTTTTCAACCCAGTGTGCAAACATTAGGTGACAATGTAAGGCTCGTACTTTGTACCTTCCTGAAGAATCCAGATTAATAATGGTTTAATTTCATTGTGCTGAGCATTGGTCATAAAATAGTGAGGGGGTTTTAAGGTTTCAGTTATTTAGAGCTGCTAAAACTAGCTCGTGGTTCAGAAGTGTTGCTGGTTTGTTAAGTTAGCCTGATTAAAGTTACCTAACTTTAACTAGGTTAACTTCAGGTAACTTTAAGTAGCTGTCTTGATTCACATTAGCTGCTTTAATGGTGGTTTTTATTTAAAAAAACAAATCGAATCCCCTCTAACCTGAAACTGTCCTTTGAATGTGCCTCCCACCGGCAGGGGTCAGGAAGGGCACGTCCTCATCTCTTTTCTCTGAAAAATTGGGGCTGGCCCCAGCGGGGGATGGGACATAGGGCAGGGAGGGCCTAGGCGCGTGGCTGACTGGTTCTTGCTCCCATGCTCAGGGTCTAGCTAATTGCCCCAGGTGGGGTTGGGAAAGAATTCTCCCCCCCCCCCCCCCCCCGGGACAGACTGGCAGTGACCTTGGGATTTTTCGCTTTCCTCTGCAGTGTGGGGCTACAGGTCACTTACCAGCGGTATCTGTGGATGTCTCGCATACTCATTTCCCTGCCATTTGCAAGGACTGTGGGTACAGGGCATCTCTGTCCCTCCTAGCCATTGCCTATGGCATGTAAGTCTAGTTGGTTGTGACCTTCAGTGCTTCAGCCTACTTCCAGTCGTTAGGGTGAGGATGCAGCTGCTGGGTGGTATTGGTTGCCTGAGATGTGCAGGTCAGCAGAGCCCTGCAAACCCACAGGGATCCACTTTATATCTGTAGGCGTGGATATCCGTGGCTCATCTTTGCAGATGGGGAAATAAAATATTGTATCTGCACAGGTCTCTACAGGTGTCTCTCTGATCTAGTGGGCCCCTCCGGTTGTACACTCTGAGACTCATTGAGCTGTGCGACCGGAGGAACAGATAATACTCAGGTGTCTGGGGGCTAACTCTCTTATCTGTCAGTATTCACACTGACATTGCTTTCAGTCATTGAGAAGTAATTCTCTTGGGACCGCCACATAATTCTTATGCAGTCCATTTACCCCAGAGTTCATACTAGGCTAGGATACAGACGTAGCAGAAGCAAAGAATTTCCTAGGAATGTGAGCTTGGAAGGGATCTCGATAGGATAATTCGTATAGTCCACTCCCCTGCAATGAAGCAGGACTAAGTACTATTGAAACCTGTGGTTCTCAACCAGGGGTATAAAAAGGTCTTTCCCTGTGCCTAGTTTTACAACAGGCTACGTAAAAAGCACAAGCAAGTCAGAACAAACTAAAATGATCATACAATGATTTGTTTATATTGTTCTACATACACTGAATTGTAAATTAAAAAAAAATCAATAGGACTATAGATACTGTAATGGTATGGTACAAATGAGAAAGTAAGCCATTTCCAGTCATAGTTGCTATGACAGTTTTTTGTATTTTTTTTTTTCTGATTTTTGTAATCAAGTAATTTTCAAGTGAGGTGAAAACTTAGGGGTATGCAAGACCAATCAAACTCCTGAAAGGGGACAGTCAGGAAAAATTGAGCCTCTGATCTACACCTTTCCTGAAAGGTATTTGATTGGAGGTTTTTAAGAACTAGTGAATGGTGGAGATTCCACAACCTCTCTAGTAACTTGTTCCAGTGCTTAACTACCCTGACATCTTTTTCTTAATGTCCAACCTAAATGTCTCTTGCTGCCATTTAAACCCATTTCTACTTGTCCTGTCCCCAGCTGTGGGGAAGCTGAGCGTGTTCATATGCCAAGTGCATGCTGCTTTCCAGTAATCTGAGGCTGCATGCCTTGGGGAATGGGTTGCAAGTGGGGGGGAGACGACGAGACATGGGGAACAGGTGCACACACACAGGTCACTGGGTCTCCCGGACTGGATTGCAAATGTGCAGTGGCCTATGAGTAGTGAGTTTGAGATCCCTGCTTTAAAGGCTGCATTCCCTGCCATCTGTGCATTCCCTTCTGACAGCTACTCCGTGTGTCTGGCGTCTGTTGGGGACGTGCAACGAAAGTGCCTGCACTGCCACAACCTCAGCCCGTACAAGCAAGGCAGGAGATTTACAGCTGAAGTTTCTCCTGGAGGCATCGCTTTGCCCGATGTTTGAACTGGAAGTACGAACCCTTCCTGGCCAGAAATCCCCTACGGCGGGGTGGCCCTGTCCAGCAAAGGGCCCTGTTCCAAGGCAAAGCAGCAAAGAGACCGGTGATTGACACTGAATGCGAAGTTGTGTAAAAAAAGGCTCTGATACTGACCAAGCACTCCCCGCACTGTTAACAGGCCCCTCTGGAGCCACGGGTACCAAAAAGCATAGAGTAAGCTCCCCCACAGGAGCAAAGGGGAAAATAGAACATCCCCACCACCGCCACTCATCTGCAAGGAGCATTTCTGCGCTTGTGTTGCCACCTACTGTTGGCACATGAATTTCAGCCAGACACAATGCAGTGTCAGTGTCAAAGGCACATGCCAGTACTGTGCTTCTCTATTGTTATACTTAAACAAAGCACACGAGATCTTTTACAGGGGAAAAGGCAGTATGCTGCATTTAGTGAGACTACAAGTGTTAGCATATGCTTTCCAGTCGCACACACCATGCACACATTCCTACCAGTTGCTGTTATAATTACCAGTCCAGAGTCTGGATCAATCTAGTGGCCAGCTAGAGCGATCACAGAGGGGGAGCCAGACTGTCGGTTGCGATCCGATGCTCCTGGAGTTGGTGGCAAGACGAACCCAAAGTTCCATGGCAAAGCATCCTGCTTTTATAATCCTTCTCTCTGCCGAAGTTTATGGATTTTGCTGTGTCAGTCATTATCTTTTGATGTTCCCATTCCAAACATCTCCAAGTTTTCAGGGGTGCTAACAGTCACCTTTAAAGCTGTCAATTTGCCCCTCCTTAATCATGGGTGCATGCTGATGGCTCTTTTTGACACTGGTCAGTCTGTCTTCACCCACATTACCCCCTCCTTTCTTGGCCATCTGGCTTCAACAATGGCCTCTACACCTTGGCTGTGTCTACACTGGCTTGATCTTGCACCGAAGTGGCCACTTCTGCGCAAAAACATGCTGCCTGTCTACACAGGCGAGGAGTTATTGCGCAAGAATGCTGTCGTTCTAATGTGTGAAATCAGTGCTTCTTGTGCAAGAACTATGATGCTCCCGCTCAGGAATAAGCCCTCTTGTGCAAGAACAATTGCACAAGAGGCTAGTGTAGACAGGCAACATGAATTTCTAGCGCAAGACAGCCCGATGGTTAAAATGGCCATCGGAGCTTTCTTGCGCAAGAGAGCGTCTCCACTGGCACGGATGCTCTTGCGCAAAAGCACAGCTCTTGCACAAAGGCACATGCCAGTGGAGACGCTCTCTTGCGCAAATACTTGTAACGCAAGAGTTCTTGCGTTAAAGAGTATTTGCGCAAGATCATGCCAATGTAGACGTAGTTAGGGGGTATAGATTTCTTGTGCTGTACTTAAATAGAACTTTGGCTAGTTTGCCTTTTGTTCTTGCTAGGGCCACAGGAGAATGACAACAATGCATGCCCAGTTTATTAGCCTCGTTAACATAGGCCCTGCAAGTGACAAGTGGTACTTCTGTTGTTCTAAATATCTCGTTTCCACTCCAATTCATCTGAGGAAGTGGGTTTTGCTCACAAAATCTGATTCTATATATTTTGGTTAGTCTCTAAGGTGCCCCAGGACTTCTTGTTTTTAAAGTTACAGACTAACGGGGCTGCTCCTCTGAGCTTTTATACCAGTGCAAAGTTGAGCATTAAGTTCTCAGCTGCCAGAAGCAGTCGCCAATCTGTTAACTTCAATAATTCTACAGCAGCAAATTCAGTCTTTTATCTCCCCTGCTCCCTGTACTGTGCCTGGCTCTTGAGATGTTTCCTCACCTGTAGGCTGATAACATTTTGCTGGGGCACTTGAAGTTCAAAGCTCAGGAACACAATACAGGTTGCAGCTATTGGCAGGGCTGCTTAATGCGGGCCCGGAAGGCACCCGTGCCCTGCTAGGACGGTGATGAATGGGGGTAAGAATTCCAAAGTGCAGTGCCTGGGCCTGGCAGGATGCTCTGAGCCCTCAGTGAGGAAAGCAGCTGAGCCCAGTAACCCCAAAGCAATGGGGGCTATAGTGATTTCATGGCAGGTGGGAGCCCAGAGCCCC